ATATATATATATATATATATATATATATATATATATATATATATATAGAGAGAGAGAGAGAGAGAGAGAGAGAGAGAGAGACAAAGAGAGAATGGATAAGACAAAACTGCAGTGGGTGACAGACAAGGAAATGATGGTGGTTGATGGATTAGAAAAGCAGGAACAGGAGAGCAATATGACAAGGAGATTTACTGACATAGCAGGGAAGGAAGAAAGCACGAGATACACAGAGTGAATGATAGACAAGGACTGCCGGCAGAGTGAGTGGCAGCATCACATGTGAAAAGAGTGGAGAGTGGGTGACCAGCAACAACAACAACAAAAAAAAAAAAAAAAAAAAAGCAGCAGACAAAGCAGACATATACACATGAACCGGAAAAGTCAATCCCTGAACCAGACACACACACAAACACAGCGAGCAGAGAAACAAATCCTTGGAATCGGACACACACAGAGACAAAGCAAGCGGACAAAACCACCACCTATCCCTTGGCAACACTTGCCCTGATTCTTCTACCTTCTTTTTTGTACAAATTCCGTCTTTGCCTTCTGTCTTTTTCACATTAAAAACAAAACTTAACCGGTCATGCAGGGGAGCTGACAGAAAGTTGGTGGCTGGGATCCGGCTTGTGGACGACGTCTCCCTGTTCGTGGTGTACAGAGCAGGGGACAGTTTTCCGCGCCCCAGGGCGAACAGAATCAGGGGTGTTTTTGAAAACTGTTACCCTGAAACAGGTACCGGTTCCGAAATTCGTAGCCTCATACAGAGAGTTGGGCGCCCAACCGAACGAGACCTGGGACTTCTTAGGCTGCCGTTTGAAGGTCAGGCAGTCCCTTCCTTTTTGGGGGTCTGTTCAGAAAGTAAAAGCCGAGAAAATTGGAGAAATCGATCTGGTCAAAAAAGCCCTTGGTCATCCGAACTGGCCAGGATTTCAGATCCTCGACAAACCATAAGCAAAAGGTAGCCACGGTCTCAGGGAGTCTGCACCAGTTGGAAAGAAACACTACGGTTCGGACCGAGATTCCGGGGTCCAGGTTATTTTGTCGAGGCAGGAGTATCACATGAAGGGATTCCCATACCGCTTCTTCTCCAAGGTGGTCGATACCTTCGCGAAGCAACGAGATGGGATCTGGAAATTTCTTCTCGAAGGTGGTCGATACCTTCGCGAAGCAACGAGATGGGATCTGGAAATTGACGAGCCAACTCTTGAAGTTGTCGTGAAGTCTCCTCGTACCTTTGGCGGGTACCGTCCCTTGCGTTTTTGCTCTGGAGATTTTTGGTTCAGTGTTTTTCAATTTGTTTAGCCGACTTGTGCGTAGAAGTAAGTGTGTCGCGGTGGTATCTTAGGAACTTTGCCTATGGGTCAATCCTGTTCTACAACAGATTGAGAAAGCCGCATGGGCTGTCACATGACTGTACTTGGCTGTTACTGGAAGTAGAGGGAGTGTGGTTTGACGGTAGAGTACTCAGGAGATGGTTGGGTGGTTGATGCTTAGCAAAGGGCTGACACGTTGAGATTCGCTACCACTGCGAGACTGTGTGCCGAAGCATTTTTTTTGAAATAAACTCTGTT